TAAATATTAGCCTCATAATTCAAACGATAATTTAATAGGTTTAAAAAAATTAAAGAATACTAAAGTAGTTATGTCTATATAAATATAATAGCACTGTCTATTGTATGCCCATGTAACTACTTCGCAGTGTGTGGTGGTATATTCACCGAAATTGATGTGGAGGTTCATTAAGTCTATGCATGCGTACATACACATTTTCAGTTTTGCACTTTGCGGTTGTTGTGGGAGTTTACGTTTTTTTCCCCCACCACTTCGCCCTCCGACGAAACTTTAGCGACACAAGTCCTTACTTAATAAAACTGATTTATTCTTTCCGAATATAACTTTACGATACACTTAATTTCAACAATCGCGCTAAAACAAACGCTATAACGAACGAACGTTAACTTCAACAATACCCTGTGACTGCAGTTAAATTACTCACTACCTACACACACACACATTATTGTCCCGTCACGTTGGCACCCTCTTATATATATACCAACTACCCTATATCTAGTAATTTCCCGACAATTCACGAAGGTACAAGATATTTCCAGAAAATTGTAAGATCACCTCTTAGTTTTCTTTCCTCAAAAGTAAATTGAAAGATCTTAACCAATCCTATAACATTTCCATTCCTGAAATCTTCCTGGTAGTTCTCCTTGGAGCTCTTCCTAGTAAAGGTATGTCCTTTCTTAGATAAAAAGACCAAAAGTATAAAATGCTGTATCTCCATAACTAAAGGATTACCGTGTGTGTGTGGGAAGCTTTTTTTCCCCAACTCCATTAAACTATGGAAAAATGAAATTGAGATGAAGGAAGTAATGAAAACATCACTTTACGCATAAAGGAAGGATGGGTGTAAATAGTAATGTGCTTTGCAGAAGGAAATGTATCTGTTATTCCTCAATCCTATCTCAGACAGCAGTGTAGGGAAATGTATCTGTTATTCCTCAGTCCCATCTCAGACAGCAGTGTAGGGAAATGTATCTGTCATTCCTCAGTCCTAACTCAGACAGCAGTGTAGGGAAATGTATCTGTTATTCCTCAGTCCTAACCCAGACAGCATTGTAGGGAAATGTATCTGTTATTCCTCAGTCCTATCTCAGACAGCATTGGAGGGAAATGTATCTGTTATTCCTCAGTCCTAACTCAGACAGCATTGTAGGGAAATGTATCTGTTATTTCTCAGTCCTATCTCAGACAGCATTGTAGGAAAATGTATCTGTTATTCCTCAGTCCTATCTCAGACAGCAGTGTTTATGTGTTTAGGTTTTCTGTGTTTGTAGACACTTGGAGTACTAATACCATCACCCTTTTGAGTAGAGACCCGGGAGCAATATCACCAAGTTTTAATACTAGCCCCCAATACCCAGGTTTTAAAAGCACCACTAGATCTGACTTCACTAATAAGATACATCTATTGGTTTGTTATTTTTGGTCAGACCATTTGGCTCAAAATGTCCTTTGTACTAGAGGTGTTTGGTGGGTATCACATGTTGTGGAATAGGTTTATGGTCGCAATTATTGAGATGCTCTACACTGCCATCAAACTTGTTTAGAACTCTGTGTACCTAAACTCATAAGTGAGTAGTCTAGGCAGGTCACTTTAACTGTTTTAATTACTTTAGATACACAGCACTGCTTTTACATTACATAATTTTACATTCAAATACCAAAACCAAAAGAACATTTTGTACACGAAGCATTAGTTTTTCCCCCTATTATAAAATCAATAGTACTAACCTTTAATGTGAAATTTAGAAACTAGAGCCTGGAAAAAATAAATATATTAAATGCTTTAACACACAACACATTATTGTATATTGCAGGTTTTCCCTTTAATTGACGCTAATATTTCAGTAAACTGACATTGCATCTTATTATTAAATCATTACAACTGCCACGGCTAACCTCAGTATCAAAGCTCTAGTATGTTACTGTCATCCTTTCAAGAAACTTGTCCTTAAATCTTTAAACATGTACAACAGATCTTGTAACCCCCCATGAAAATCTGTTATGCCAAACTACATAAATAAATAGCTTTAAAACGTTCTATCTACAAGTTCCTAAACCTGTGATTCTCATCCACAATACCATTACGATTTAACAGTTTCTTAACTTTATTGTGCTGGTTTTTAACTTTTTCAAGATCAAAACCTATGTTATTGTTAAGAATTTTGTTACAAATTTAGAAAATACAACTTATTTATTTAATTGATCACTGGAGTCTGGAAATAAATATTTGATTTATTTCGCTTATTTACGTCTTACTGAAAATACTCTTACGAATAAGAACGGTTATAGAAAGTTTTCGATCCAGATTTCACATTGACAGTCAGGGTAGCGACAATTGTATATTTACTTAGATTTTATCCTAAAAAGTTGAAGTGATTTTCGAAAGTTTCGTACCACCAAATAAACAAACTTCTTTCTAAGAAACGTCTTCTAAGTTGTACTACCACTAATTAAAACTATATCTATATTACAATTTATATTAATTATTAATATTAGTATTACTATCAGTACTTGCCTTATTTATAATTATATAACAATAATCTGACCATATTATTATTATTAATGAAGTCTCTAGTTTAAGTGTGTTCTATTACTCATATTGCTTTAACAGTTGAGAAACGAAGAACAATATTTGAATAAATGATGAAAGGCAAACTTATGTAACAGTAAAATAAATAGTGGACAAACTTCGAGATCAATATCATGACAACAAACTTCTTTCTATTTACAAGTCTTAAGGTTACCTTGATCTTTTTCAACAACTAAAACAATGTGCAACACTAGCGCCCTACGCAATAACATTTAACATTATGAATGTCACACATGCTTCTGATACTTATATTTTAGGTATATTTAGCGAAACAAATCAAGGACAACAATAAGGTAGCTTGAATTTCCCCTTTTGTCGTTGACACTTTTTATTTCATGGAAAAATAGTAAACTTTAATCAATTACTTTTGTATTTAGAAAAATAATAATATTTCAACCGTTTTTATAAAATTTGACTTAACGGGTTTGTGCAAAGAATAAAGAATGTACCTTTCTTCTGTTAACTATTTACGAATTTAAATAGTCGTAGTATGCAATGTTAATTTGAGAACTCAAGTTAATGAGTTTTAGGTTAAATATTCGTTTTAATAAACAAAAGAATGTATTTATTATCTTATGGAAACTACTACCAGTAAAATATTTTTCAGTACATACGATTTCTGTTTTATGTAAATAAGCTTGTTGTTCATCGCCAAGCTGTACAATGAGCTATTTGTACTGTGCCCGTCGCAGGGATTGGACCCAGAATTTTTTAGTGTTATGAGCTCTCAAACTTACCTCTGAGCCGCCAGTAGGGAAGTAAATAACATACAGAAATAAGAAAATATTTAAATATATTACAGAAAACCAAAATCATACAAATAAATTTGAGAACAACTGGGTTTCCATAAACTATTATATGAAGAGTGGTCATTAGCAAAAAGCGCGAGTTGGTCCTTTGGTAAGGTTCTAGATTTCAGGGATGGTGAGGTGGATCCGTCATTGTCCCATGTAATAAAATACCTTATTTTAAGCAGTGGGTGCTGCTAGCTGGCTTTCTTCCTTCTAGATAGTATTTCAAAATTAGGATCGGTGACAGATAGTTTTAATAGTTTCCCATAAGTATCGGTTGGTGGTAAAATTTGGCGTACCCCGGTAAGACAGCGGTAAGTTTATAGACTTAAAATGCTAAAATCAGGGATGGACGCAGCAGATAGCCTACTGTGGCTTTGTTTTAAAAAACAAACAAACTTAGTTCAAACTTTAGTGTGAGGTAATTGGGTGGTTTATGATTTTATATTAGAGATTTTATTTAAATAAAATTACTTAAATAATTTTGCAAGACCTAATAATTTTGCTTAAACTAACATGCTTTGTTAAAAACAAAACAACAACAAAAAGACGGATAATTCAGTACATAAACCTGCAAAAAGCTTTTAATATACAAATGCCGCTACGCTTAACGGTGTTCTATAACTTGTCTCGAAGATGAAATATTTGTAAATGCTCGAGCTTTAGAAATTATAATACATTCCGAATTTTCGATTTGTTTAAAAATTCAACATGTGCGTTATTTAGTAACTTCATGTTGGCTTTGAAGTTATTCAAACTTTGGTTGTTTTGTTTTAGAACTAATTTTGAAAAGAGAATTCAAGATAAATACTTTAAATGCGCATAGTAATTAGTGTGGTAATTTTTCTTTCATGCTAATTTGTTACAACATGGAGTTATTTTGATTTCTGCTAACACTAGTTATCGACTCCATCTGACCCTATAGAAGTATATCTATATATAAAATTCAAATTCTCCCTGTTTGTTTGTTTGCTTGCTTGTTTGTCTGCCGCTTTAACTGCGCAGGTCACGCTTCCCTCACGTGAAAGTGCTCAAAAAAATTTTTCGTTGATATACGCGTCTATCGTCTGCTACAAAACCGGTAATTTTATTAACATATACATTACACGAATTCTACGCAGACTTGACATTTTTGGTAAGTTTGAATTAACATTTAATTTAGAAAATAGCATTATAGGCCTATTTAGTTATAGACCATTAACTATACATCATATATTTAACATCACACACACAAAAAATTATACAGAATTAGAATGTCATGTGTATGAGAAAGCAAACAGTAGGCCTAGCCTATAAAATTAAATTTTGCTGTCTGCTATAAAATAGACTACATGAGAAAAAGTAAGGCTTAAATTATAATACTTATTGTGTACAATGAGATTAAATTTAAAGTCAAATCAATGTAACTGGTAGAGCACTTGCATGAGGTGGAAGACGGATTGAACCTGGAAATTGTATTTTCTTTAAAATTACCATAAGAATAGACAGATTTTTAGTTATAGATTATTCATTATACATCTACTAATATATCATATATTTAACCTTACACACAAAAGAAATGTATACAGAATTAGAATGTTGTGTGTGAAAAAGTAAACAGTAGGCCAAGCCTATAAAATAAAGTACGTGAAAAGAGTAAGGCTTACATTATAATACTTATTGTATAAAATGAGATTAAAAGTCAAGTCAGCGAATGTATTTTACTCTACTCTTTTTTTCAGGTAGTTTGATACCTGGAAGTGGATTATTTTTTTTATTTTGATACCTTATAAAGTACAATACTGTATTTTTCTTGTAGTATATTTCATACATCAATGTCGTAATGTGAATACGGTATCACATTCATAAAGATATATTAAATTTACATTAAAGCAATTCAAACATAATATTACATTCATATTTACAATTGAAATTTTAATATTTAAGGAGGGGTAACAGGGATAGAACTAGGCTTATCCTGTTCGCCAAAACGGGGACTTATAGGAGTATAAGATAACTTAAATATTCTCCATTAGGGCCTATTTCTACTTGCCAGCAAAAACATCATACATAAGGTAGCCCCGATTTAAAACAGGTTCGTAGTTTATTTTCAAAAATCAAATTTAAGGTTGTTTTTTTTTTTTAATTAAATTCACAAAAGATTTTTTACCTATCGCAATATGGAAAGAGAGAGAGTAATTTTTTTTTCTTCTTCCAAAAACCCGGGCAACGCCGCTAGTGTATATATATATTGTTGCGTCAGCGAGGTCACGTGACTAGTGTCACGCCCCCTTAAATTATATAGAGAAAAGATAATAAGGACACAGGTTGGAGATTTGGAAAAAAACAGACTGGTGAAGACTTATGGAATAAGTTGCCTTTAACAGCAGTGAAGGGGCTTAAGAGGAGAATAGATTATTTCCTAAATTCCTAACATTTTTCCTTTCCCAAGGGTTGATGTTCAAGGAAAGTCATGAAGTTGAAAACTTTCCACTCAACTTTCTCCTGAAACCACCTTTTCAAACATTTCTTACAAAACTCAGTCAATATTTGACATTAACTAATAAACAGTGGAGAATGAATGATCAGTATGGCAAGAGCCGAGCTCAGACAATACAAAAAAAATACCACTAACATGGACATAATTTGTCAACTTCTCAATGTTTTGTAACTAAATATTCACACACACACTTTGTTCAAGAGTTTACATCTTTCAATTTTTAAGAACATTTTATAGCATTCAAAAGCCACCTAGGGATAATATAATTTTTATACTTTAAATTTATTTACAAATAAATAATTTAATGATAAAACAGGACTGCAATTACTGTACATGAATATGTAGTCTGTTTAAAAAGAAAAGTAACACTAAATGTTCTCGTACACTGAGAATAATGAGATCGAACACAAAAAGGATTTAGATCATTTAGTTAGTTGGGCAAATAATTGGTAATTGGGTTTTAACTATAATAAATAAAAGATAATGCTTTATCATAATTTGAATTATAAGTTCAATTTGTATGGGAATAAATACCTTAATAACTTTAATTCAAAAATATTATTTCTTTCTGAATCATGTCAAACTGTGCATAAGAGTACACTTAATCTACTTAACACATAGTTAGAGCCTTCACACTTCAGAGTAGGATAAAATCACGCCAGTAAATATCCGAGTATGCACGTTGTACTCTTACTTATCTTTACAATAAAATTTTCACAAAGAAAAATGCACACCATAATTACAATCAGATGTTAGGCTTCAAATTAACAATAAGTACATAAATTCATTAACTCACTACATGAAAAACAAAACTGTTGTAGCATGTACAAAACTACTTTCTACAGTATATTTACCATTTTCATTTAACCTATTTTTGCAACTGTAGGCCTAATTCAGCCGGAGATGGCATACAAAATGTTTGATGATGATTTTTAAAGATAAAACAGAACAAATAATATAAGAAGAAATATACAGAGGTTCGAGAGAGCTTAACTATGATGAACACTTTTTTAAAACAAGGATTTTAACAATAAGAGAAAATTAGGAATTATCATAAATAAATAGTAACAATTCTAAAATTTACTTCTGTTCAAGTATTTCTAATGTGAATAATTAAATTACCTTACCTTTTTAATTTTTCAGGATTTCCCCAACCTTTAGTAAAAAACTTTGTCAGAAGAATGCTGCGATACACTACATCTAGTTTGCTCATGATGGTTCTTCTCGTATCAAGTGACTAACAAGACAAGGAAAGTTCGCATACACAATCAACAGTCAGCAAATGTATGTCATCAGAAGACGACAGTCAATGAGTCATGAAGAACTACGTTAACTATATTTGTATATAAAGTATGATATTAGTATACTAGTTATGCCTATGAACAGGTTTTTACCAACAGATCGACTTATAGAAACAAAACAAATTTTAGTTAAAATGAAAAAAAAAATAAAAAATTATTCATTAACCTACGAAGTTAAACATAGCAAGTCTTAGGGTTAACACAGTCTCACTTTTCAAGCAACTTCAAAATCTATATCAGGCAACTTCTCTCTCAATATTAAGTAAACTTTTGCTAGTAACACCTGTTAATTACAAGATAGCATTTCAAATAGTCACTCAATTCTATGTCAAGAGATTATGTGAAAATGGTTACCTAAACATTTCAGGCCTATCATTTACCTGCCACATTTTTTCCAATATTCAAATTCATCAACCGAGAGACAGAAAAAAAATGTTATTTTTACACATCTGTGATTCAGAATCCTTAATTAAAATGAACTGAATTAAGAAACCTTTAGAGTCTATTCTAAATAGCATAGCTTTCTTACAACAAAGGACCATTTGACCCCACAAATGAATGTGTGTGTGTGTGTGCAAGTTGCATGGGTGCTTAAAATGATGCTTCGTGACACGGATATAGCAAGAAAACAATGACATTTCAATATTACGAACCTTTGCATTATATTAGCAGTTATAGATTTTATAAAAACTACACGACACTGCTATGTTTGTTTTAATTTTGATTTTCTTCTTGACTTTCTACAAAATCCTCATGTATGCTATCCCTCCTCCTTTTACAGTTTTGTATCTCATAGTCTGTTATTTCCTGTAACCTTGAAACATTTTCAATTCAATTTTATTACCTTTGGTTGCCATCTTCTCTATTTGCTTCACAAACGATCTCAATGAATTAAAGATCTATTACCATGCTGCTCAACACATTCTCATAAATAGAATGTATTTAAAATTATAATGTCACGTGTCACTGAATATGGCTTTTCATGAATATGTAATTATATTTGCTGCATGTATGCTCATATATGTACATGCAATCATATATGTCAAACGAAAAGGATTGTTTTTTCCTTTCTCATAAACCCCAGTGAACCAATTATTTGTTAAAACACAAACAAAACAGGGACAAGGAAAGTATTTAACTGATCCCCAAACACTGAAGTTTAAAAACCAGTA